CTGCTCCCCAACGCTTCCACCCCAGAAGCGGTCGGTGCAGTTCACACGCAGGGGTGCCTCTTAACCCCCCTCTCCCCCTCGCAGTTAGCGTGCGGCCGCTGGTGCAGGTTCCCCTCATTCAGGAGCGCCCTGTTGCGTTTGTACCTCTTAGAAGAGTTTGAATCTCCAAGTAAATAGTTGTGCGAAAAAAAGTTTTTCTTATTTAATCTGCTGCTCAATTGCGGTCGGCTTTGTATAAATTATTCAAATTCGACTAGTCAAATTCTTGGTTTCCACGCAACATATCTGATGGTGATAGCCATTGAATTAATCATCGATTAAATAAAAATGTTGGTAATGACAACATGAACATGGATTGTACTTTATTCACATTCAATTGATGGATTTTCAAGGGAAACTAGTGCGATTGCGCGACCTACTGACACTTTTCCTCCTCTACATGTTATTTTGCAACAATAATTCGCTTTAAAAAGGGCATGAAATCATACATTGTAATAAAAGAAAAGATTGAAAATATTTCGCAACTTTCGCAATTTTAAAAAATTCAGAGGTTTTATTGAAAATAGAAATTATGTCGTATTTATAAATGCACTTTCTTCTATTCGATCAAAAGTATAGAGAAAAAACAATAGCAGCTATTTTCATTTTGAAGTCACAGGTCAAATGTCATGTAAGTGCCCGCCAAAATTAAAATACCGTAATGGTCTCCGGAATGACACAGCTAGATCTTGCTTCTAGCGTATTTACCATGTTTCAGCTCAAAATATTCTAATCTGACAAAGGTACGCGTGTCACATAATCCCAGTCACGTCAGGTGTAAGATCTAGTTATGTCGTTCCAGGGATCGTTAAGATATTTTAATTTTGGAGAGTAATGAATAATTTGGACTTCATACTGTTGGTTTATAATTGCATATGTGAAATAACCAAATCTTACTTTCTGTGGATGTAGATTTGCATAAATAAATTAAAATTGCAACTCCTTTCTTACATTAGCCACTACTTTAGGGCAAAGACACAAATTATGCAAATCTTCCTTAATGATATTTTTTGAAGTGAAAGAGCTGTGAACTTGAAAATACGCTATAAGTGTGATTCAAGTTAAGAAACATGAAAAAGAAAGTTGGATTTTTTTGCCTTCTAAAACTATTAAAGAAACTCTAAAACTGTAGTTAAGCTATGAAAAACCAAAAACAAATGTTGGGCAAATTAAAGCCTCCGAGTGTAAAGGATAAATTATTAGTTATTTTCTATATTTTTACAGACATTACTTTTCATCAGTCATCGTACTGAGGCTTTCCTCTTGCATCATTGCTATAGCTTCACTGTAATCTTGAATGCAAAATAGTTGACGTTGTGTGTGTGTGAAGGAGAGAGAGAGTGGGAGAGAGGGGGAGAGAGAGAGGAAGAGAGAGAGGGAGTGAGAGAGGGGAAGAGCGAGGAAGAGAGAGAGGGAGAGAGAGAGGGAGAGATAGAGGGAGAGAGAGAGGGAGAGAGAGAGAGAGAAAGCGAGAGAAAAGGGAAGAGGGAATAGTGGGATGCAGTGCTTTCAGAGACATAAGTTCATTTTTATAAATATTATGGATCTCATTCTTTGTGCTCTGCTAATTCATGACATTAATTGATCAGTCACTTCCCTCCTGCACGCGGGTCCAGGAGGAACAATCGGGGACAGTCCCTCCCCCCCTCCACACACAAACATTGCTTTGTAATGTTTCTCAATTTATTAGAACTATCGCCACATATTAATCACACCCACATTACATAAGAATATTCTCATTTTTCAAGAAAAACAATTCAATTAAAAAAACGTCATTGAACCCAGCCCGAAACACTTTCTGGACCGCCCCTGATGCTACAATTGCATCTGGATCAAATGCCTCATCTTCAGTAGCAAGTTGCGCAACTCTTCCAAAAAAGACGGGGCACGCAACGAATATCGTGATGCGTTTCTTCAGCTATTGCGTCATTTGATTTCTCGTGAAATTTAGGAAATAAATAAAAATTGAACAATAACCGGCATACCACTTGTGTAAGGCCTTCAAATTTCCATTTGCTCTTGCTGAATTGAACAATTTACCAATTAATAGAAATGAAAATGAACAGGCTACAATAATAATATCATAGATGCTGTTGCGACGACATTAACGGTAGGTTTACCTAACGGCTTAAGTGTGGAAGACAATGGCAAGAGGGTTAATTGAAGTGTGTTTGTATACATATAATGTCTCGTAATTTAATATTTTAATCCCAAACTGTTTTTATGTAATTTAATCGTATTTATACCATTATCTTGGAAATTGTTTAGTAATTTTGAGTAATGTGTAATTTTAAGAAAACAATCTCACTCGAGATATTTACATTTTCTCTCGGCGCAGTAAATGCGAACAAGTAACTACTTTCTGGAGAGCAGAGGCGTACACTACGTGGCAAATGTGCATCCAGCCAAAACAAGATGTGAAGACGTCCCCTATGTATTAGCGTTCGAGTTTGGATTATTGGCACCTGGTTAACTCCAAATTGTACACATTATCGAAAGTTATTTAGTAGTATTTATTTAGTGTTTACTGTTATCCCTGCTTATATTCATCCCCAATGAACTCTACGTCATGTACTATTTCAGAATGTAAGCGTAATCATTCATTGGCGCAAAATTGTTTTTGTGGCGTGAACTATAAAAGGTTGAAAGCTATAAGGGAACGTAAATAAATAAAAAAGAAATCCGGCGGGAGCGCGCATGCAAGAGGCCGTGACCCAAGACGAAAGCCCCTTCTTCTGTTCTAGAAATCTCGTCGCGCTTTCCCGTTCGCCGGAGCCTGCACGCGGAAGGCAGCGTGCGCATCGCTGTGCACCGCCCGCCACGGAACATTCGTCATGATTCACGACTTCGCCAGAACAATATACGTCGCGTAGCTTGTTACGTGTTCGAGTGAAACGCCGCGCTTGGTCGAAATTTATTGACTTGCAGGTAGTTAGTTCATTGTGCTTTGTTTTCAATGAAGCGAGTGACGAGACTCGGCTTCTTTTCGCCCTCTTCTCGACTATGTGTACGGGAATTTATTCTCCACTAGGAGAACGTTGACGACCACCGGTACGCAGAACTAATCAAGCCCCATTTGATGTCTATTAACAAACTAACGGCACCGCGAGCAATGTTGCATAAGCCTCCGCTAACCTTGTTAAGCGACCTTGAACGGGCGCGGTGCTGCTCTTCCACCCCTCGCGGGCGGTCTGTGACTCAGCCGCCCATTGTTTCGCTCCCTCGCCATCCCTCCGCCGACCTCAGTCACGTAGCGAGAGGAGCCGCCGAATCGGAAGCGCAGATCGATATCAACTCGGGATCGTTTAGTGCTCAAACTGCCCGTGATGCGGCTCATTGTTTTACTACACTCTCCCGTCCTTAATCCGAGAACATCGTTCGGTTTTTGTATTAATTGATACACTTTTTAAAATCACGATTATGGAGTTAAGTACGTAAATCTTTCCAGAGTGCATTATTTAAATTGTTTTAATGAGCCCGTAATATTTTATTATTCATGGTTTATCCAAAAGCACTTAATTGCGTGAAAAAATTACGGAACTTTGCACAATAACGTTTCCCTTATTACTTAAAAAATCGTATTCTGAGCCTATTAGGCATTTATCTTTTGATTAGTTTTAACTTTTACTCAGGTGCTTATGAACATTTACAAGATAGCAAATAAACTCTCCAGACCAAGCGTTTACAGGAAAAGCAAGTTCGAAAAGCAACAGGAAGTGGAGGCTTATCAAGAGAACGCGAGCAGCTATCTCTGCGCTTCGTCATTGGCCGTTTCCCCGTCACTACTGCCACGTAAGGCTTTGACGTTCTTTCCTCCTGTGTAACAGCCACTTTTCCCCCTTCACGAGTCATCATTTCAGGCGTACTTCACTGCATATTGCGCCTTCCTGATACTCGCACGGAGCACTTAAATATAAGGAGACAAATTTTTATTTGTAGCATTACATGAGCACTAGGAAACAGGATCCCTACTTGGTGATGGCAGGTACAGATCACTATAGAGATTTCTTTTCATTTGTTTATTACCAAATATATAATATGTACAACTTCAAACTCTTAAAACAGAGCCATAACAATAAAATATACATGAATAATGAATCAGATGATGAAAATGTAGACAGTCTGAAGTCAATGCTTGTGATTCAGGTCAGTATTACGTTGGATGGATATCCGCGGCAGGTAACAATATTCACAAACGTGGTGGCACATCCATACGAGAGCGGTTCGGCAACACGGGACGGGGCTCCGCCTCCCCTGCCTTGGTCCCTTTCGCCCCAGCCGGAGGGGTCCAACACAATAGCGGCCGGCGGCCGCGGGCCACCTGGCTCTGGCCGTGGGCCCACCGGGCGGCAGGGGGGCGGGGGCCCCGCGCGAACGGGCGACCGGCTGGGCCGGGCCCTCCGACTACACTCGCGCTCAACTCAAAATATTTACACTCCCGCAGCGAGACGCAAAGTAAAAAAATCAAATAGGAACACCATACGCAAAAAAATTATGCTTTTCAGGAAAGAAACTCGCAGTCGATGCATGTGCCACCACGAGCAGCCTCGTAAAAAAAGTTTAAAAAAACAAAAACAACGGAACCAAGAATACTGATTCATTTACGGTGTTTTGCCAAATGTACATATGAACACAATACTTATAAAAATACAATTTACCGCCTCTATCACTTAGGCCAAAGGTTACCAAAATATTCCGATTTCGACGAGATCACAAACTATTAACCACGTTTTCGATGTACTGTGGCGGTGGCAACACTGTAGGCCTACAATCCATGGGTCGTCACATTTGTATCGGGTTGACGGGACGGGATGACCGGGTTTATTTACAAACGCCATACGCGGGTGAGGAGAGGGGGCGAAGGGCGGAAAGGTTATAGGCATGCCGCCGCCAGCGCTTGTCGCACTCAGACTGACCACTCGTGAAAACAGAAAAAAAAAAAAACAAGTCTATGTACAGCTTTAAACAGTCATGGCGAGGAAGGGCCTCTGCTGCAGGACGTCGACGCCTTCCTTGGCCTGCGCCGAGCACAGGTCGGGGGTGGACACTGACCTCGTCAGCTTGCCCAGGCCCGCGCCAGCCCCCGCCGCGTCGCCGCCCGCCAGCCCGCCGAAGCTGAAGATGGACACGAGGCTGGTGATGCGGTCGATCTCCATGCTCGTCGCACCGGTGTCCTCCTCGCCGTCCTCGCGCTCCTCGTCCTCGTCCCCGACCACCCCACAGTCCGACAGCAACGCCGCCTCGTCCAGAAACACTGAATCGTCCCCTTCCGCACTGTCCGAGGATGCCGCCGCCGCCGTCGCCGCTGCCGCAACCGCCTGCGTCGCGGTTTTGGCGCGCTTGGGCAGGATGGATGACACGGCCTCCTCCGTCTCCCACTCCGCCACGCCGCGACGCCTCTTCAGGCACCGCGTCGACGGCGACAGGGCGGCGGGCTGCGGCGGCGCGCCGGCGTTGGAGCGGTCGCGCAACACTGAACTGTCCTCCGCGCCCGCCCCCGCCTTGTCCAGGTCGAAGTAGGTGGGGTTGTCCGGAGTGATGTGGTAGCCGCCACCGGCGGCGGCGGAAGGAATGTGGTTCTCTTTGTCCTCGTGGGGGAGCGCGTCCGAGCAACGCACACACGAGGTCTGGTCGAGGAAGTCCGCAAGGTGTCCGTCCGCGGTGGCCTCCTCGGAGCTGGATGTCTGCTGGGCCGCCGCGCCGCCCACGCCCGCCTCCTCGGCCGTGAGCGCGACTAGCGCGTCGTCGTCGTAGTTCTGCTCGTACTCGTCGCCCGCCGCCTGCTGTTGCTGCGGCGAAGGCGCCTGAAGCGGGCTGCCCGCCGCCACCGACGCGCCGTACGCGCCCGTCGCGTGCACCATGTGGTACGCCTCCTCCATGAACACGTAACGAGCCTTCTGGAGCACAGTCGCCACCAGCAGGTTCTTGTGCAGACTCACGCCGCCCCGCTGAGCACGAGATTGCGCGATTTTAGTCAGCGAAATGCTGATTAATCGCTGAGCTTCTGTTGCCATGACAACAACACTCTTGTAAAATTATTAATAAATGTTCGTCTCAGTTCACGAATGTACGACGGAAGTATTTGTACACACAACACGTAACTTGTTACTAGGCTCCGCACCACTCGCTACTCCACGCGTGCTGCTCACAACACCGAGCGCTCCACTCAACTACCACCTTCTCACCGTGCCACTTTCTACTAGAATGGCAGTTGATGTCACCGCTACCCATATAAGTAAGTTTCCGTTTCTCTGACGTCACGGCCTACTTATCAACCAATCAGTGAACGTCCTTCGTCATTTAAAAGAGGGGAATCCACTACACTACTGCCCTCACGCGGGCAGGCGCGGAACCTTCTGCTGTGTTTTACTTGAAGTATCACGAAAGATTAGAATCGCTAGCGACCTCTGGAGCGCGCCGCGTATATACACAAGCACTCCTCTCGGTTGTGGTTCGCTAATATGAGCCTTATGAACAAAGTACGCAACGGTTATATTGTGGCGGAAGTTGTGAATGACAAGACGCCAGCGGAAAGGAAGAATTGCATCATTTTTCACTTATTTCGTACACATGAGATAGTAACTTGTGTTGTGCCTTCTTAACTAAACGTTGTGATTTCGAATTCTTTATATTTGAATGATTTATAACTGCGGTTTTTGACTTAAAACACGGGAGCTGAGCTGCAGACTGTTGTGTAACTACCACCCGCGACATCTCTTGGCAAAACTATAAACTACTAAGAAACGAAGGTCATGTTACTGGAATTCATAACCACGATTCTGCCTAGGTTTTGTAATTAGGAGAGATATCAAGTGCATTATAAGTCTAGCTGATGTCTGATGGCTATAAGTCTTTGTGATATCCAGTGTGCATTCGAGTAAACGTGCAACTTTTTAGTTAGAACGTCAGGTATGGCAGCAAGATGCAATTTAGTTCGGTGACCGTTTGGTGCATATTAAACGATGTTAATTTTCTGAATCGGGAAAATAACAATGTTGATTGATATTTTTACCCAAATTCTCATTAAAACCATTGCCCTTAAATGGTAATATAAGCTATTTAATTTTGTTAGGAAATGTTCGTAACTTAATTCTTATTGTAGTTCTTTATGAGCTCGGAAAGAAAACATTAAATTTCTTAACGTATTCGGTTCGTAATGAAACCGTAAACAATGCTTCTTGTAACAATCAATTTTTCCCCTTTTACAATCATCACTCATAACGACACGTTATATATAGCGCCTACAATATTGCTCTTCTGCATTATACTAAACAAATTTGTTTTTATAGCTATTAAAGAACTCAATTCAAGGCTCCATAATGTAATGCTAAGTTGGCTTAAAAAAATTTAAGTTATATTGTTGATATAAGCAATTATATACAATAATAATTCGCAAGATGTCAAAAACAAAATAAAGTTTCTGTAGTGAGCCATAATAAATTAAGTTGAGCACTTCCACTGTATAAACATTGACCAAATCACTCTAGTGTTTTTAGGATATATGAATATAAGGTGAGAATTTTATGAAAGAAAGTACTCAGAACTTTGTAAAAGTACTTTTTTTAACAGACTTATTAATACACTTTAAGAATTCAGTCAAATGTACAAAACAATGTTGAGCAGTTCAATCATCAGTCACAAATTAAGTTTTATTTGATTTCCATTCAAATCAATTCAAAACTTGCAGACTGATCATTCACACCTACAGCATGTGAATGGGAATGGTCCCAATTATTCATTAGTCACTAGATGTACTATTTCCCTGAAAGTTTAGTGCAACTCCCTTTCATTTATCGAGTCAATAATCAAGGGGTTTAGTGCAAACACCTAGTAAGTCAACTTTTGGTAAAAATAAATTAAGAGTATGTATAGTATATGAAAGATCACTATGCATTTTTTAGTACACAATCTGAGTTGTGTGAACTTATCTGAGAGAGATGCTTAATTAGTAATGGATACTGTGGTTGTACTTGGAATAAGAATCAGACTAGTTCTGGACTCCTCTTGTACAAACTCTTTTCAAAAGCTATGGAGGCCACTTCACAAACTATGTTTAAAGGAAATGAAGAAAAACAAAAATATTAGTAATTCAATACAGTTCTCACAACAAATACATATTAAATGACGGCCAAAACATTAGGCAACTATTTTTTCGGAGTTAAGCCATCTACAGGAAACAAGCTAGAGAGACTTCAATTTTCCAGATACATTATTGTACAATGGGCAATTGTAACATGGAGAACCCTTACTAACCATAAATATTATACTGAATTCAAGTTTACTTGCCTTGGTCAGTAGAGGAAAAACATTTTAAAAAAAAATTAACAATTGTTTTCAACTGTATCAAGATAGTTATTAGTATCTGACATGTTTTCTTGTCCCTTTGCTTTTCTCTTTTTGTATAGCCGGGAGGATGGAAATACATTTTCCAAAACATTAATAAATGACATGTTAAAAACCGTTTTGCTCCTACAGACCAAGCCTCAAACTTCAAAATGGGCTATTGTTTATTAAAAAGAATAAATATGAAGATATCATGAAAGTGGCAAGTAAATAGACTGCTTTAGTACACAGGGGTTCTACAAGGAGGAGTTAGCGTAGTGCATATGAAGTTAGTGAACATAACTCATAAGTTTCTGAATAAGAAGTTAGACTAAAATGAATACTTATGTTACTTTGTACACCTACTGCATAAATACTTGGATATTAATCAGAACTTATTGTAAATTCACAAAGGTACACATTGGTATAATGATCTGCGTATGAAAAATATTGTACAATTATCGATAGTTCCTGATGATAATCCAGTTTGGGTCACATTCTACTTTTTTCTTTATGTTTATGTAATACATTACCCAAGAATGTCAGATTTTAAATGTTTGGTGCAAAAAAACAGGTATGTCCAAATAAATACATACTTATTAATTTTAAAACGAAAATCCAGAATTTTATGATTGATAATTTTCTGTCACGCTCAAAACCTAGTGGAATCATTCACTACAATCTCTTACTTACATTTTCTAAAAATATACCTCTTCACTGACTGTTTCTACATCTATTCTGGAAGTTTTTTTTAACTCTTTGAGTTCTTGCACCAACCTCTCAGTTATCAGAAATGGCAGTGAAATGTCTACAGTTCATCTCTATCATTTTTCACAGCAGCTTTTTCTGCTGGAAATCCCCAAAACGATGTTGGCAAGCCTCGAGCATCTCTTTCTCTCTTTGTGAATGCTGAGAACGAAGAAACGCAATTCCCAATAAAGTGATTTGCTTGACCTAGAATAGCCAAGTCCACGTGCGGATCAGACGGCTCCAATCGATGAACGCTGATCTATGAAAAAAACAATAAAAATTAAAGATGTTTGGTCCAAATAATTTGATACTATTTAATGTTCTACCTTTACCATTCTTTTAACATTTCTAATGTTAATTTCAGAAAAAGTTGGTTTTAAATGAAAGCATGTTTCTTATCTGGTATACCATTATAAGGAATCTTTTGAAGTTTCCTTGAAGACAAACATTCAACATTGTCAGGAATTCAATATTATTGTTAAAAATATACCACATAAAGTCTTAACAATTAAAAGAATGAATTTTTTGAAATATGGATTCTTACTTCCATTCGTTTTAAGGCATTTCCAATTTCTTTAAGCATATGGTTGCTATCTGATGCTACAAATACTGATTTAACATCATCCATGCCACGTATCACTCTTTTTAACTGTCGTAAAATTGTTTCAGTACTGGGCTGACATATTTCATTAGTTAGAGTTCCATGTTCATTACGATAGCCTAGACACTGAGGTGCAGAGAAGAGATTTGGACTTTGAGGAACATGTTTACATACTTGTACCTACAACAAAAAAATGAAACAGAAACAAAAATATTGGGTTACAATAACAAAAACGTTATCACAGGCAACATATTATTCAACACAAGTCAAACACACCCAATCTATTCCATTGCGGAGATGAATTCCAACAAAACCACCACGTGGAAGAACAGTTTTAATAAAATTTCGAGCCTTGTCTTGAATAGAACTGCTCCATTGCAAATATTTGTGCAGATCACGATTTTCAATTTGCACAGGAAAACTTGCAGGTGCCCCAGTAAAAGCCAAAACTAAGTAAAATATGAATAATTGTTAGAACTTAGCAATTTCAATTATTTTCTAATTAATTCTAACAAGTTGAAAAATACCTGGCCACTCTGAAGGTGGGTATTTCTCATTCCATTTTGTTGACATGTCATGGTGATAAGTATCATAATGAAGAGGTCCATAGAATTCAGAACCCACAAAGTCCACATCATATGTGTCCCAGAAAGGCCCAAATGGATTTCCTTCTTTTGCATTGCATCCTCCAGATTCCCCTCTCATTGTGTAACAAAATGCTGTAGAATTCAAGAACATGAACAGAACAGTCAAACAAAGCTTGGAATAATGGATTACAAACCTTAAACCTTTTTGTAGGTGGTTTCCATGGAACTTTCGCAGCACCTTACAAATGCAGTTGTCATTTAATTTGTATTACTCATTTAGGCACAAATTTCACATTTCATATTATTTCAACAAAAAAATTAGTCACAACACTAACACCAAATTGAAAGACATTTTTCATAATTGAACAAATAATATTGATTAGTATTAGGAGTAACAAATTTTAGTGATACAGAAAAATTAAAAAAACAATATTATTCTACGAAGAAATGGTTTCAAAACTTTTCTTTTTGCTTTTGAAATACAGTTAACAGCAAGCCTACTGAATACTATTATAATTTGTGGTTTTAATAAACAGTATAAACAGCCGTGTTAAATAAATGTCATTTTGTAGGAGAGACGTGAAACACACTAAATTATTTTTCTTCTTATCACATGTGAATAAATTAAGATATCAATTCCAAAAACTTTTTTGTTCAATGTATTCACAACTCATTTTTGTAGGGGTACACATATTTAGTTCTGCCACAATCAAAACTGACACTAACTACGATCTGAGTACATTAAAATAAATACAATCTGTATTAAAATCAATATTTATACTTCATTTCTCACACTAGGTGTATACAAAAAATTAATTTGATAATGCACTGATTATCCTGTGTACATATGACCTGGGTATGCCTGCCGGGTGTATCTCTCAGATTTAGCTGCAACATTTTGTGAATACGAATGATGTGAAGCACTAAGTACTGAAATGCATTTTGATTTAGTTTTTACATGTCCCCCATTGCAATTGATAATGAACCCTACACTGCAGCATCCTTGTCTGAATACTTATAGTGAGGAAGTAAAAATTGACAAAGTAAAAGGCAAAAATCATTAAACATCTCATTATCTTATTAAATAATATTAATACAATTTCCATCAATCATATTGGCATGTTCTAAACTTTACATATACTTTACATTTTTCACAAAAAAATTTAGGAAGTTTTTTTTTTTCTTTTCTATTTTGCAAGATTCACATTTTTTCTTTTCCCTACAGATGTCTCCTGCACATCTTTATCTTTGGGAAGAAACTGTGACAGTCAACCCTAGATAAGACAAATGATTACATTTTCTGAATAGGCACTTGTCATAGACATGGCTAAAAATAATGCCATAATATTATTGCTTAGGCCAGGAGCTCACAATGCACTGGTGCCAGTGCCTGCAATGTATCTGAGAGGTATCATGCAGTGCAGACATCAAGTTTCAACACGTTCATTGGAAATGATTCAGTGAAAGGATAAAAATAGACAGCCTTGTATTCTCAGAAAAGTACAATGAAAGAATACATGAAATAACAGACAACTAATCCATTTCCATTTATTCAGGAACACAAAATTGCTGTAGCTTGGATCTCAGATCTATTGCAGGCACTCACAGGTTATATAAAATGTATTTTGGGACTGTGTTGTTTCAATTCTCAGATTAAATAATATTAGAAATGTTAAAAAGAAGTAAGCATTTTGGCAATGTTGTTACAGACCCATTTTCAAAAGGATGATAATTACATGATTAAGCACTTACCTATTCTCTTGTCAGGTGTCCATATCTGGGGTGCTATGTCTTTCATAAATTCTTCCATTGTTAAGACCCGATGATATTCTTTAAGTGGTTCTACTTTGAAGTATGTATCAAAAGGAACTTGAATCTGGAAAGGGCAATTTTTCAATATAGTACTGCTAACAGGTATCAATTGCATGCAAGAAAATGCATAATTATTTTCTTACTGAACGAGGTTCTCCATATCGATATTCTATCCATGGAGGAAGGACTAATGTTCTATTCAACCCCTTTGAAAACCCTAAAGCACCTAAGAAATGGTCTGCTTGATTTCCAAACCGACCTGCAAACATAATTAGAAGAGTTATATACAATATTGGCTAGATATTTATACTTATATATTGCACTTACCCATGCAAGGACAATATAATATGTAACCTTCAGGATCAATGTCAACATTGGAAGCTGCACTAAGGCAAAAGGTTATACTAAAACCTAGAATGTAAATCAGAATAGCTGCCATTACTACGCTTTAATGAAGTTGACAGGCAAGTTGTAGAATGTCAGCGTCCTCTGTCGCCTGGCAACGTGGACCTGAAGCAAAGGGACACCAATCAGCTAACGCCGCTTCCCAACATGTTGCAAAATTCAAGTTCGAAAATACACAATCGTACCAGACAGAGAGGAATATATTTTACCCTCTTAGCGTGTCACACGCGATACAATTAAATATCATATAAAATGACAATTTCTTTTAGATTATTTACGATCAATTATGTATTATTGTTGTATGTAACGTTGCATTATAAAGAGCAATTAACTCTTGTCTTTTCATTACGGTTTTTGTAAATATATAACTTCGCCTACTGAATATTTGTCCTACTATGTTAACGTAAATACTGTGGCATCTTCATTGGCATGTCCCAGAAGATTTGGAAATACTTCATTTTTTTAAAAAAACCTTAATGCTATATGACAATAAAAAATACAATATTTATTCGAGAATATGACTTCAAGAAAAAATGGAAAGGTCTTGAAGCTCAAATTAAACTATTTATTGCAACTACAGCACAATATAACCCAAGACGCAAAGGGAATCTTTGTATAACCTTATCACGTTAAAAATTTTAGAGAATCTTTGCTGACATTTGCCAAGCGTTTCTCTGTTTGCTCTGTGATAGTGTGACAATGCGAGGCCAGGCGAGGCGTTCTGGGGGGCGTTGCGGAGTGTCGCTAGTAATCAGCTAGTATAATGTAGAAAAGACTGAGGGGCTTCAGTTATAAGCAGATTACATAAAGGTGTAAAGGCATGTGGGGTTTATTATCTCCGTTGATAGAAATTGGGGCTGGCACTTTGAAAATTTCGGAACGGTGACAGGTAACATTGTAGAAAATCGGGAGTACTAGATTCACACTTGCAGAAAAGCGTTCCTTCTGGCGGAAGACAGTCTCGAAACACTGATTAGTTGTAGAGCGACTTCTTGATTTAAAAACATCAGAAATAATCGTTGTGGATTCAAAGTAATCTTGTAAGTCAAAAGTGCGCTGGCAGTAACGCGGATGAGGGCATGAAACTATAACATTCAGAGAGCAGGTGTTACTTGTCAGTGCTTTTCCTTCATCCCTAGTCTATCATCATGGAAGAAAATATTGATTCATTAGAAGATGAAAACGGTTCGTTTCCACAGCATCTGGAAGCAGATGTTGTGCAGGAAGTGTTGAAAAGTGGGACAGACCTTAGACAGTATTCTTTACAAATTGAAAAAAAATTGAAAGAAGTAGAAAATAAATCTATTCAAGATTACATTAAAGAAAGTCAAAATATTGCTAGTTTGCATAATCAGATTGCAGCTTGTGATAGTATACTGGAGGTATAGTATTTAACTTGTAGCATTTTCAAGTTTACAATAGCATACTGTTGCTGTTTTTCACATAATTGGTTTCTCTTTAGAGAATGGAGTCAATGTTGCTATCATTTCAATCTGACCTAGGAAGTATTAGTAGTGAAATTCTGTACCTTCAACGGAAGTCTGTATCTATGAGTCAACAGCTAAATAACAGACAAGGCATTAGAGGACAGCTGAGCCAGTTTATTGATGATATTGCGGTGTCAGATTCCTTAATGGGGTGTGTATGTTTGTAAAAATAATGTTTTGAAATGGTGGCTAAATCCAAATTATAAATATTAATATTATTAATTTTGTTAGAGGAATATTGGAGAGCCCAGTCACAGAGAAGGATTTTGTGACCCAGTTAGCCGTTTTAAATCATAAAATTAATTTTGTTAAAGAACAAAGTTTCAAAGGTAAATTTGTTGTATTTTTATCACTATTTGTTGAGGCTGGAAAGGAAATAGTATTCATTAGATTTTTTTTCAGAAGTGAAGGCATGCAGTGATGTTAAAGATGTTCTTGAGAAATTGAAAATTAGTGCTGTAAGCAAAATTGAAGTTTATCTCCTTGAGCAAATTTATAAATTTCGTAAACCACTATCGAATTACCAAGTGCCTCAAAATACAATGTTGAAATATAAGTAAGGTTTGACTTCTTTGTTTATCATTTGCTGAAAGTAAAATTTTACATTTTTAAGCTGATACTCACTAATTTTGTTACAGATTTTTTTATGAGTTTTTATTGACACATGAACGATGTGTAGCACAAAAGGTTCGAAAGGAATATGTGGACACTATGAGTAAAATATACTATTCATATTTTTCAACATACTCGAAACGATTAAAAGGTTTGCAGTATGAGGACAGTGCTACTAAAAAGGATCTAATGGGAATTGAGGACACTGCTTCTAGAGTTCCTTTCATGAAGTCTTCTTTGAAACAAAAAAATACGGTTTTTACTATTGGAAATCGGGGTGAAGTGCTTGCCACCCAGTTTGAAGCACCAATTATAGTCCCCCATGCTGCACAAGAACAGGATATGAGAGTACGTAGAAGTCAATAGTAAATATTGTCTCTATTTTCACTAAATTTTACAGTTCAAGATTCAAAGTTTTTCTTTCTTTTGACAGTATCCATTTGAAGCACTCTTTCGAAGTGAGCAGTATGCACTGGTGGACAATGCTTGTCGTGAATACTTATTTGTAACTGAATTTTTTATGGTTCGAGGGACACAAGCTCAGGATTTGTTTGACAAAATACTTGGCAGAACATTAAATTTGCTTGTGGTATGTTTAATATGAGATTTTGTATAATTTTATTTCATTTAAGTTTTGTTAAATGTGAGATTCACACACAAATCAATTTTTGTTTTAGGAAAATTTGGAGAAATTTGTTCAAGAGTCCTATGATGCTATAGCGTTGTTCCTCTGTGTGCACTTGGTATTGAGATATCAGCTGCTATGCCATAAACGAGCTGTTCCAGCATTGGATCGTTATTGGGATGGGCTTCAAGCTTTGATTTGGCCACGGTAAATATAACCTAATTTTTCAGCATCAAATTTTTTTATGGGCTTAGTGAGCTATGCCAAAGGGAGCCAGCTGTCTGTGGAGGCACAAACGTCAGAAGATTCAAAATTTCTTGGTGTAAAATGTGACAAACTGGTCATGGGTTAGTCCCTTGTAATTGGATGTATCTAATATCCCAATGGCATCCTCTTCATTGATTGTTGGCACATTCCTGTCAAGTGCATCTCGCCACAACACCGCAGCACCCTTATTTAACTACCCCTCTATGCCAACGTTAGGTAGTGCACTCTCGAGTCAAGTAATCTGATATTGTTTGCACTGTGTAGTAATCTATAAACATTGTTGAAAGAAGCGAAGTTGATAAGTTGTAGATAGGAATCACCAAGACTAATTTTCGTATTGAAACATGACATTCCATGAGATCAGAAGGTCTTGTATTGAAAGAAAAATTAACACTTACTATGAGACCAAATGGGCCTCAAGGCAGTCAACATGAAATGACCTGCAGTAATTGGTTGAGCATGTGGAACTGGTCAGGTGATTGGATCAAGTTGGATTATTGGATATATTGCATCTTTCAAAGCCTGAGTTTAGGTTGAGCCTCAGCAGATATTTTCTTTTTTTTGGTATTTATTTATACATTATTAAGTGGGTAAGATGTATTCACTTATTATGATATGGGGTTATTTGTGATTACAAGAAAAAGTGGGGGGAAATGCTGAAGTAATAGCATTGGAGTAACTTTGTTACATAAATGGCTGTAAGACAGCTTTGTTACATAAAAAAAACAAACAATGAGTCTGCCAAAATATCATCATTGAAACAGTTTGAGACAAATTCATTGACAAGTTGAGACACAAAGTCTCACGATAGCCAGAGAGGGAAAAGTTGAATTACAAGTATTAAAAGATTTGTATACTTCAAGTGCGTAATGAAGAACATGCAATGAGATCTGCTAGTGAATATATAGGCAGTCACTTCTCAGAACCTTTAAGAATAGTGCAGTTGCTGCTGTGCAAATAAATTTTGAAAGCAACTACTCATTGCTGATACCTCGAGGCGGATATACTTTAGACTGTGTAAGTTAAAGAAACTTCACAAACCTGCGCTGACATTTTTCCAGAATTGCAGGTGACCCTTGTTTCGTGGCATCCAAATTACGGAGGCATACTCTGTTTAACTAGACTAGTGCAAATAAAACATGTAACACTAAGATATTTCTGATTTTCTTTGAGAGCCCCAAAGTTTTATGTCCTGTGGTAACTAGATCTTCGATTTGGAGTTTAAACATCAGATGCCTTTTAAAAAGAACTCTGTGATCTTTAGCAAAAGGTAGAGAATGTAACATTGTCCCATTAATTTTATAATTATAAATAATTCACTTTGGTCCAAAAACACTCATTACATGGCACTTGGCTAGATTTAATAATAGTATAAGCTTATTATCACAACACTCATGTAATGTATTAAATCATTCTATAGTATGACACAGTCCTTAAACATTCTGATTTGAGTAAACAATTTCCTGTTGTCAGTTTAAGTTAAGAAAAAGATTGTTGTGTAGTTTGGCTTTTTGTAAAAAGATGTTTATTCCAATATTTATCATGCTTTCTCTATTATAAAAGATTTACAATTCCAAACCTTGGCAAGAGATGAGTAATATGCAATCTTCTATTATTATTTTCTTATATATTTTCTGTTACTTTTCTCTTTTGTTATTTTACTCTATGCTATCTTATGAGTGACACCGTATACTATCTGTCAAAGGAAATACCCCATAAATGAATATAAACAAAATTGTTATGTATTTGGTAAATATTTTGTATTTTTAAGGGTTGTTTGTTTTTATTTTTTATTGTGAATTAAATGGTGGGAATTGTGAATGGCAATCTATTTATCTCTATTGAAATACAAATCTTTAAGTATAAATGATGATGGATTGTATTTGTTTCAATTCTTAAGAGAATGTTCCCATTTTTAATCAATTACATGAATTAAGAAACTTCAAGTCTTACATTTGTTGTTATTCTGTGTGGATACTTTCTCTCTTTCTGTCAGTAAATTACTTTTCATGATCCATCTGTTTTGAGGAGTTGCTCAGTAGACATGTTTTTTATAAAAGGAAAAAAAAATAATTTGTAATTAATATTGTTGGTTTGATAGATTTGAGAGAATTATTCGTATGAATATTGAAAGTGTTCAGAACTGTGATACCCTGAAGTTCAGCAAAGAATTAAGACCACATTATGTAAGTATTTGTCTTCATGGATTACTGCATTATAATGTTTCAATTAAGCTATCATAAATGCTGTTTCTGCTGTTCAGATTACTCGTCGCTATGCTGAGTTCAGTGCTGCTATTGTGAGCATCAGTGAAACCTTTCCCAATGAGTTAGTTAATCGGCTTTTAGCGGAACTTCAGGAACAAGTTGAATTTTTTATTTTAAGAATGGCTGCTATATTTCCTCAGCGAAAAGAACAGTTGATATTTTTAATCAACAACTACGAGATAATATTGGGTGTACTTATGGTAATTATTTAATGAAATTGTGTTGTTACATTCTATGGTATTCTTTGCTTACTTACTTACTCTATTTGTTACATAACTACCGTATTCAAATAAATTGGCTTTTTCTTAAAGGAGAGAACTAGAGACACTTCAAAAGAAGCAGATAGTTTTCGTGACCAACTGAATTCGTGTAGTAATGAATATGTTGAAGAAATTTTATCTCCTCATTTTGGTGGAATTATGCAGTTTGTGAAAGAAGGTGAAGCTCTCCTAGAGAAAGGCCAGACCGAAGACTTGAAAGCCCAAGAAGGTGAGAATTAAGAATTCTGTCTTATTTAGAACTAATTGTTAGCTTAGTGTTGAAGAAGGCCATATCCTGGCTGAAAACTTTACGTAATAGATAAACATTGTGAGGTGAATAAGTCTTCACTCATGGACTGCCTTTAAATTTTTCCTGAGTTTTTAAGCTTGTTTGAAAGCAGACAAAATCATTCCTTATTGAACTAATAGGTAAAACAATTAATCTAAGGGAATTAAAACGGATTCTTTTCGGATATATGTATACCAGTTCACTAACAGAAAGATTTTTTTTTTAATTCTTAGATATAGTTCAGTAAAACTAATTATTCCCACACTAATTGATGTATTTTCCCAAACAGTGTTATGCATCTGTCAATCAAAAGAACAACAAGATATTTCACAATCAGCAATCTCTCTTATTTGCCCTTAAACTGTGCAATAAACACTACTAAAAATAAATATTAAAATGAGCATTTTTGAAATTAAATTTTTATTACTACTTTGATGGAGATGGAGACTGAAATTCAGCATTAAAATTTTAAATATTAAAATGTCATTTAATATTTAATTATTTTCCTTTGTTTTTCCATCACCATATAAATTCACATAAATAAGAATGTAGCATTGCTCGGCTTGGGGTCCGCACTGGACCTTGAAAAGATTTTTTTGCCAGGTGCCAAGTGCTTTCAATCATTTGCATGTTAACACCAGTATGAGGATCAACAAAGTTGTACCTATGATTGACTGTATTGTGTATTTTCAAGTATATATTTTGCAGTATGCTCCCCATTTATCAAACATAATGGTTGCTCTGGGTCTAACATGTTCTTGAATAATGGAAAATTATCGAGATTTAGCTTTAGCTGTATTCACAGGTTTCAAAGGGAATGAGTGAGGTCACTGTCCTTGTCATTACAACACTTTTTGCGATGTTTCACATGCATTGTATGCATGCATTCTCAGGCAGACCTTAATATTAAACAATATACAAATAATTTAACTTGACTCCCACAAATAAAATACAATTAGAACAATTAAATTACAATGGAGCAATAATGAAAGAATAAATATATTTATCAAAACTACGAGAATCAATCACAGCAAGAACAGGTTTCTTGATTTATGTTGGAAATCAGTCAAGAAAACATTGCAGAGGAAATTAGGGAAACAAAACTTTCAGCTATTATTGCTGAAGAAATAAGTGATGTGTTGAGTACATTTCAAATTGCAATTTTCAAGTACATTCTTGAATATAAAACAGTTCTAAGATTTTGGATTTCTCAGAGCCCTGCTTCATGATGCAGAAACATTGGTGTCTTGCATTCTTCTTGAATTAAAACAGCACAAATTAAACGAAATTCCCGAAAAGCTTATAGGAAAGTCCTGTTTGAAAACATGAACATTATGATGTCATACAAATTTACAGTATTCTCTCTCAAGCTGCCAGTCATTAAAAAAAATTGATCTGATGTTCTCTCTGTGGAAATTGTAAAAGTGGTTTTTCAAGATAACATAAAGGAGTAGAGAACAAGGACACTATTTTTTAAAAATTTATTTAATATCGAAAACTGTTCCAAAATCCTTATGATGTACTATGGAGCGAAGTGTGTTCTGTGCACGTTTTCTTAAACATGGGGATCTCTACGTTAATTCGTATACAAGTTGAATTAGTACTTGTAGTGACAATGAGGTAATGGTTAGTCTATTAGACTGTTAGACTCAAGTTCACAGGTTCAAACTAAATCGAAACTGTGGATTTTTAAGGGCGAAAAACTTTATTTGCCTTCCTTCAGAGGGGAAGAAAAGCCGGCTGCCCAAGGTTAGTAGATTTACTGTATGTAAAAAATCCTCAAGCCTAAATGAAGCCTCTGAGCTAATTTCAAATCGCCTGGTTCGTCACCCAAGAAATACCTCCGCTAGTTGATGAAAGGTGTGTAGCAAAATTTGCGTGGTCAGACTGAAGAGCAGGCCTCATTGCACAGATGCAATTTTCATTGAACTTTCTGATTTTTCAAAAACTGCAAAAGTTAAAAATGATGCAAGAATGTATATGCTGTTGTACCACCTCTAGTTTACAAATTAATCTCACTTGAGAACTTGTGACAAGGGTGCCACCGCAAAATGACGAATTCATTTATTCAAACTGATGTTGATGTAGGGTGTAATATACATGGTATATTGTTATAAACCAAAAAAACGACTCCTACAGTATAGGTCAAAATTTTAAAATTATTTGTTTTAATTTTCTAAACATGTTTTTAAATTTTGGAATTCTTTCTTCAACTTTTTTATGTAAACTAACGATGTATTTATACTATTTTAGGATAATTTCTTGAGCAAAAGTTAGGTTATAAAGAGTTCAGATTTGATTTATAGAATTAAATGTTAGTAGAAAAGTTTATGACATTGTGAGTTATTAACTAGTGAGTTCCCGGTGCCACTTGCAGATGACTCTTCTTTGAGAATTTTCAATAAATAGTCCTTTACGAGTTTGAGTGAGTTAGTGTCACCAAACTTGTGTTTAGTCCTTTCTTAAAATTACAGAAGTGAAAATTTTGCACCACTGCTACTAGGGAATGGTGGATTTAAATTATTCAAGACGTCACTGCAGTGTCTCTAATTGGGAGGTCCTAGGTTTCGAATCCCAACAGTGGCAAGATTTTTGTCATTAGTTAGATAGCTAGGTCTAATTCAGTTGCTGTCTGGAGGAAAATTCTAGCGGGGGACTGCTCTGATTGGTAAAATTAAATGATTTCCCCAGTTAATATCAGGCAAATGCTGGAGCAGTACCCTAACAAATATGCCATGGAAGACGTGCGATTCTTCCTCTTCCCTTCCCTTTCCCTTCCCCTCCCCCTTCCCTTCCCTCCCCCTTCCATTTCCTTCCCTTCCCTTTCCTGTCTTCTTTCGTTCCTTTTCCTTGCCCAGTCCTCACTCCCTTTCACTCTCAAGTACTACACTACCTCACTTATCAAGAGATCTGTCAAGAGTTTGAGAGAGATCTTCGAGCTTGTCTTGGCTGGGCAGTGCCAGGTTGTGAGAGATACCTGGTTGGGAATAATTCCTGGAAGCGGACATAGGTCAGCTGTGAATCTCACCATCCGTTTGATGATCACTGATCATCACTGTTACCGCCTGTGATATAAACACGAACTACACTTACGGGAATAATTACAGCATTTGACATGCCTATAATTGCTAATTAATCAATCATATTCATGATGTCTGTTAGTAATTATAGCACATTATGCATTTCCGCTCCTTCATCCTACAGATATTGGAAGAAAAATAAAATACAAATAGACAATAACTTGTTTCCTGGAGTTTTAAGCTGAAAATAATTAACTAGTAATGCCCATTTGATAATTAATTCTCAAAGACATAAATTTTACTAACCGCACACATTTCTTATCAATCAGATATAGCATGTGAAGAGAGTTTCAAAAACAGTGGATTGAAGATGAGAACTTCTTTCAAAGCTTGTAAAGAAGACAACAGTGGGGGCACAAAAATGAATTTTCTTTGAACCTAAATCAACCTAAATTTAAGCCCCACCCCTTGTCCAGTTGGTCCCTTTTGTTCCCTTTTGACCCCCATGTCCCATTAGTCCAACTTGACCACTGTCTCCATTGTCCCTGTGCTCTCTTTGTCCTTCTTTTCCCACGTGTCCAGATTTGTCCCCTTCCTTCTTTTGGTCCTTCCGTGGATTGTGATTGTTATTTAAAAACAGTACCAACATCTCTTGCTACAGAACATCAATAGTGATCACAGTTCTTAACTCATGAAAGTGTTAAATGTTTATTTTGAATAACTAGAAATAACAAAAAAAAACAAAAAAACATTGTATGTAACATGCTTTAAGGATTCTGCCTGAAGATTAACTCTCCACCGCCATCACTCCGCCTCGCAGTTAATCTTCCTGCCTAGTCTGTAAAAACTAATTTAGAGGACTTGTTACAAAAAATAACTATTAATACTACAGTGATTTACTGAGTATGTGAGAATTAAATGAAAAATAAAAACGTGTAAAATTTAGTGTTGAAAAAAGAACATGAAATGCATGTTTCCTGCAGTCCGAAAGCCAGATTTCACTGTAACTATAACTTTCCAAAAATTTCACGAGTTGAAAATTTTCAGGCCTATTCCTTCTGTTACAAAATTGAAGATGGAGATTTTTCCTTAATCTAAAATTCACAAAGAAGCTGAATGTTAAAACATTAGCAAGCAATTATAATAGGCCTGTCATTTTCTCAATAAAATATAATTTTGTCAGAATAATAAATAAATTTAAAAAAAAAATTTAAAAAAAACAAAACACTTTTTATCACAAATTTTGCTATAAAAATGCTCGTAGTTTTGAATTCTTTCAATAACCAAGGATGACATTTTGTAGGCATAAAGTACAAGTATCTAGAAGTATTTTGGTGTTTGAGAATCGAAAGATGACGATGTTGTATTTTCATAATTTGGTTTTTAAAAGATGTTTACCCATTTACCAATTTACCCTCTGCATAACGTTGCAGTGACCTTGCAAAAATTGTGTTGTACAATTTTTCTGTTGGTGACATCAGTAGAAAAAAAAGACGAAACTTAATGTATACAATGTTAGCTTGGAATTTTTTAATGCAATAATACCAGAAAATTTATTAAAATGGTTAAAAAAATTGAATTATTTTTAGATAAAAAAAATAACATTCCAAAAAAATAAAAAAAATTCTTGTTTTTATATCACACTGAATCCGAAAATTTAACTATTTGTATGATTTCTGAATCTTCAGAATTTTGTTGATCGTTTTGACAAAGCATGTCCCGTTGGCCAAGGCAATGCCTCTAATTCTTTTATTTAGGGCAGGTTGATAATGCTATGAGGCAACATCCATAATGTTCATTGGTCAGAAAGTGACCAACACGTGTTGCTTTTGGTTCATTTTTTTTTTTTATTTTTTTAATTTTTTTATTTGAATGAACATACATAGTTCAGTAACTGGACTAGTAATTAAAAATGGTGAAATGTCCTGGTTGAACCCTGAAGATTGTCCTATTGATCAGGCCAAGTTGGGGATCAGCTTACTGTGTCCTGATTTAATTGTGGTGGAGTGTTCATAGATTTCTCGAAGATTTCCTTAATAGTTAGGTTTAATGTGTAATGGAATATCAAAGAAGAATTAAGGAATTGAAGAATTTTTGTATATCTTACTTCAAGTAAAAGTGTATTGTGTCATTAAAACGGGGTATAATATGATTTTAGTTTGTGTAAATTTTACTGGGGATTTCAAAGACTAGGAGAGGTTTATGCAAACTTTTTGAAGTCTTTATTGTTACTCTTGCCACCATTTAAGGGATTAAAAATTATGTTTGATGAACATTCTCCCTGAAATTGATACTTTACAAGGGTTTGTTGTCTTCTGGTATTGAAATTTAACCATAAAATTGTTTTGTTAACTATTAATATTTTTTTCAGGCAAAGCATTGGCTCTTGTGCAATCGTTTTCAAGCAATTGGAAACAATCGTTAGAAGAATTAAATCAAGAAGTTCTTACCTCTTTCCCAAGCTTACTGACAAGTTCTTCTTTGTTGCAATTAGCCTTCAAACAACTTGTGCAATATTACCACAGATTTCACAAGCTCCTCTCCCCCACTGCAAGAGGTCAGTTGACCAACATTCACCTCATTATAGTAGAGATAAAGAGGTACAAGACCAATTTTTGAAAATTAGTTTTAGCCTTACTGCTGCAAAGGTAGGAAATTCAGTCTTGGCCAATGTGTTATGTTTTATAATGGCTACCAAAAGTCTTCTAGCATTTTTAATTTATTTCACCATTGTTATTAATGTACATAAATAACCAAAGAGTTAATTTATTAACTGTCAAGACTAATGGTGTTTTATGCAAATTATGTGTGTAAGGACATCAACATTTTTTGCTAAAAAGTTGTCCTGCAGTAATTTGAAAACTGTTGAATCTCTATCCTATTCAAATAAATGATTTGTGACGTAGTATGTGAAACTGTGATTTTCTTTATTTTCTTTTGATACGAACTGTGAGACTATTCATGGGTTATGGTTACACGATTTACAACAGGAAGCATTTGTGTGTTACTTAATGTTTGTATTGATCTCATGAAGAACATTGTACATCTCCAATATCTTTTATTGAATTTTTGTTCTGCCAAGAAGTTACACATTTTCATTCAGAATTAGCAATCACCAGAAATCTTGTATATTAGATACTATCTGGTAATAAAAGTATTTGTTGATTGAATCTGTTGATTGAATTCATACTATTTTTCAAATACTTTATTTTTTATATATATTTATTTATTTATTTACATGACATCAAAAAGTTAAAAACTGTGTGACATGTTATGAGCAAGATGCAATCTATGCATGGTTTCTTGACCCGTGGGATCTCTGCCTTAACTCGTAAACATAATAAGTTGAATAATTAATACAAGTAGCATCAAGCGTTTTTGACAAGAATTGGTATAAAAATTTCTGTATCAGCTAACAGCAAAATTGCAAAAAAATGCTTATATTTCATCTTTTGAATTTTGATAGGTTGTATAATATAAATATCATATGCATGACATTATCTTACGTTTAAACATTAGTTTTATATTTGTTAAAACTGTGGGTAATGGCTTGGGGCATGTTATTGCCCCAAGGTCTTCAATTATTTGAATAACTACATTCCCCACTGAGTTCACGAACGCATACACAGGTAATAGAGCTACCTTTATGTTCAGAAGAAGCCATCTCAACATTTACTCAAAGGCTTGAAGATTCTACAAAAAACCCGATTGTAATGGAGCCATTTACCTAGAAACCGATGTACAATAATTGTATTTAGTCATTTTAAATTATACCATCTAAATGGGAAATAATACATTCAATATCATTGCTAAATTTAATATTATTTTCCTTTTTGTTGCTCAACATGGTCTAATTTTATAGAAACAATTATGCAGCAGAAAAGATTTTACTTGTCTACTGATTTCAATCGTGTAATGTCATTGCCATGAGCAATGTTTAGTAAAATAATGTACATAGATTATTTGTGAATTTCTTGTTGTGAGTTGTTGATTATGATACCTTATAAATACGATTACTACGTCAAGTGAGGCATCAGTATCACCCTTGAGGTAGTCATTTTTGGCAAAAAACACTAATTTGTAAATCAATGGTGAAATTTCTAGCATAGTAAAGAGAGGCTACAAGAATTACATGGGTGGGATTTGCTTTTTATTCATACAATTCTTTTCTGTAATCTGTCTCGGAGCATAGGATGCGTTTTCCCAGAATATTATTCCCTATCTCAAATGGGAATGAACATTTGTAATATATATGCAGTGAACAGTGTAAATGCCTTGTGAATTTGAAAGAACTCTTAATTGTGTAGCATAATGAACTTGATTTTGTCTTCAATTCATTTAAATGGATATTCCCTTTGAGGTTTGACTGAATTAAGAGACCAAAACATTTTGTTATATTAACATCAGTCAGTGACACATCATTCATATTCAATGCAATGTACAATTGTTTATTTGATACAGAAAAGTAGGTTGAAACTGTTTTCCCATCTTTCACTATAATTTGTATGACAGAACCAATTTGAAATATCTGATATTGTATTATTTCCTTTTTTTTTTATTGCAAAGGACTTGATTTATTTGACTCTGTGAACTGACCTAGTGCCTAAATAAAGTTAGATTATTGTCAGAGTGAAAAGTAAAAGATATAATTTTGAAAAAGTGTGTGATGCAAACGACCAAATTCCTTAATGTAATCTTCTTTTTTTAAAAAAAAATGTTTATTAATAGTGAATATGTTGAAGTTTAGATGAAGTTAAGGTTAAATGATATGAGGAATATCTCAAACAATATTGAAGTGTACAGAACTATGAAGATGCAAGAGTTATTCACATGCCCAATATAGTTCATAGACAATTCTCTTGGTGTGTTTATGATTGCTAGTTACATTATTGCTACTGTGTTTGGTTCTGAAATTGTGGTGATGTTGTTGCTTAAGTATTAGATTTTATTTTTATTTATTAATTTTCTGTCTGGCTTTTATTCTTTGGTCTAGTTCTAATGATAATTAAAGATGTTGTCATTGCCAACAATGTTTTTTAATTCAAAAGCAGCTTTCGATGGCTTAGCCATCATCATCAGTTGTCTGGTAGATGGAAGCCACAAAACGACAACTGATGATGATGGCTAAGCCATCGAAAGCTGCTTTTGAATTAAAAAACATTGTTGGCAATGACAACATCTTTAATTATTTTAAAAATGCCAAAGATATCCTACCACAACACCTATACCTAGTTCTAATGGTAGGATTTTCTCTTTTTCATGGAATGCTTTTTTTGAAGACCTGTTATATGAGACCTACTGTCTTACTAGACCAGATATTTTCTATATGAATCTGCTGATGGTATAATTATTGCCTTTTCTACATTTCACACAGAGTGCAGTCAGGGTAGTAGAAGATTTATTTGAACTTATATGATTTTTTGTTTAGGAACTCTTCTGAGATTGTCACACTTAATGGACATTTTTAGGCTTTTGTACAATATTTACTGACTCTAATAGAAAATGCATTTTCTTACAGATGTGGATCCACGATGTTATTGAAGTAGTTAAATGTATTGTCACTGTATTTTCAGTGTTAATGTCAAAAGAGTAAAATAGTTATTTGCCCAAAAATCCAAGGACCACTTATTACCCCAATTCTCTATTTTTTAACCTGATCACTGGTTTTGCTGTCGAGGGGTGTTAAAAACACGGAAGTAAAGGAATTATTGCTCCCCCTTTATTACATTCAGTGAAATATTTTACATAAGCAGCGTCACTGCACTTATTTTACAATATCTATTTAAATTTTGCACATCCAATTCTTTCTTTTGTTGTGCTTGTAATTATTGCCAACATTGTTGTTGGCAATCTAAAGCTAGCCGCTACAAAACACTGTCAAACTATTTACAGAATTAAAGACTGATTTTAGGCTATTAAGTGCTGTATTTCTGACTTAACTCTTTTGGTTTTCTCAAAATTGTTGGTGCTGATAGCTTTATTCTAAAGCTAGCAGTACTCTCAGAAATTCAGCTTTCCATTAATGAATATCTATGAAAACCAATGTAAGATTGCTGGCTAATTAAAAGCTCTAAAAATAAAAAGTATTCTTATTCATATTTTCCAAAATTGAGGTAATCAGTGACACATGTTCTTATGGGCCAATCAAAAATTTTAAAAGATTATTTGAACAAAACTAGCAAGTTTTATAGAATGGCACAGACTTTCTCATACATGTTCATTTTCTATTCCCTTTAATATGGGTTGGGCTAGATTTTCGGTATTGCCCATTCTCTTCCCAGCTGCCATCTGTTGCCACCTTTTTTCACTTTTTGTCAATTTTCAGCTCCTTACGTTTCAGTTTAGCTCTAAACGTTTGTTTTCAAGATACTTAATTGGAAATTAATTCTAATCACAAATGCAATAATGTATACAAATCACTGATAATATAAATATTATCAACGTGAGAGATAAAAAAAGTACATTTGTGTGGTTTTTAAAATAAAAAAAATGCAGCAAAATTACATTTAGCATCCATATAAAACATGTAAAGAAAAAGGTTGTGGTTTTTGAGAAAAAAGTACAAGGGCACAGTACACAATGCAATACTGTGTTGTATACAAATTTATATTATATTTGCACAAGATTATATTGTGTTTGCACCAGTAATGGAAATATTTGTGTGATGTGAGGGATACAAAAAAATTATTTAATATTGATTGACTTTTTAAACCATGCAGCAGAAATGCAACAAGACATACAATGTACTTTACTAAGATGATAATTTTCTTCAATTATTTATCCAGAGAAGTAAGGTAGATAATATGTTTGAAAAATATATATTTTTGTTCCAAGCATGCTTCTCTTGAATTTTATCAAGAACAGAAAATAAAATATTATTAGTTTTAATTGCGTAATAAAGTGCATATTTTATAATTTTTAGGCTATAAAAGCATATTTTTAAAAACATATTTCAAGATTTTTAAGGACATAAGTCCTCTCCCTAGTCATCAGATACAGTGGATTTTGCATTATCTGTATGAAAAGTTTGAAGAAAAATATTTGGAGCCGTTTTTTTAGTAAATTTTCTTTTTAATATTGTGCTTATTTCACTGAAAATTATGAAAAAACGACAAAAATTTTCCAAAAACTGTAAGTGACATTAATTAAAGAACTAATTGTGGAGGTCAAATTTCATTTGAAGAAAAAATAGTTGTCTTCAATATTGCATTTTTTCGGTTTCAGGACTCGGCCAAATGTTTAGTATTTCCATTGAAATCAAGAAATTCATTTTCTGCAGCATTATGTAACTTTCTGTGTACTATGTATATTACGCATGTATATGGAAAGCAAAAATGTGTTTTTTGAATTGTGAAAATGGTCATTTTTAAACAAAATTATTACTTTCACACACATCTCAATCATTTTTCACATTTATCAGGAAACAATACCCATAACTAAAAGCTTATGTTGGAAGCAAATATTTCTAAAATAGAAATTAATCTGTGTACATCTTTTGCCAATAATTTTTAGAAAATTTTATGTTTATGTTATTTGGTGAAGTAATCTTATTTGAAGATTAGTTTTTTCAAGCAGGATTCCAAGGTTTCATTTTGATACATTTCATTTTAGGGAATAAAGAATTTTCAATCAAATGTACTTTTTGGTGTTTTTATGCTTTCAAAAGTAAGAGAGCTTTTAATGTTCTATGCCAACAAGTAAAGCCGAAATTAAACTGTACGATACAATGCAATGCTACTGTTTGTTCACTTCTTCGGTTTTTTAATTGAACCGAAATATTTCAAAAATATTAAAGAAGAGTAAAACTTAGTCCTTAATGGCTATTTTCATTGAACAATTTGGAGTCGTTTTTAAGAAAATCGCGTTTAAGCGTTACTGTAAATGTGAAATTTAAAGCTTTTTCACAGAAAATTTTTGAGTTTTTGAAAAACTTCCTAAGAAGTCGTTTGAAGGACGCCCAAAATATGGATTCTGGCTACACCACGTGTTAGAGTTTTTTTTCTATATTTAGCAACTGAATTTATTCACTTCTTCCTGACCAGGGCCCGGCAATAAGAGTTTTTGTGTCGAAAAAAAAGCCGTTTTCCAGCGCACGATTACAATACTTCCTCTTCTTACTTTAGTAAGTGCGAGAAAGAAAAAAAATGTATAAATTAAGTTGCTAAATTTAGAAAGAAAATACTCTAATACGTGGCGTACCCAGAACCTCTGTTTTATGTGTCCTTGATACCGAAAAAACAATGTCCCGTCCGCCAACACCACTAACCTCTAAACCATATGTAGGTTTTCTTTGAAAATGGATAATCCCCGCTCGATCTGATCCGACTAGAAGTGCTGCGATTTTGAAAAACATTCTTAAAAATTTGGGGGTACATTACATGAAGGCCCTGGGACTATTTCAAAATTTTCTCGAAAATGGCTCCCAATTTTTCCCCCTACATTTCATGAGAGAATAGAGAAAAATGCTATTATAAAGATGGGATTGGCCCGATTTTGAATGTTAACTTTCAATTTTAAAATATTTCAAAAGAATCATTTTTTTGGGAGTCTTCCTACATTTGCAACACTGAGGATAGAGTTTTTTCTTTCATTAAAAGTTTGTCTCCGTAGTTAAATCTTTCATTAAGGTCGTATATATTTTTTTAGAACATTTAAGTAGTTTTCGCACAACATTGCGAGCAATATGTGCAATATTAAAAAATAAAAACAAGATTGTTTCGAAAACGGTTGTCTCTTGAAACCTTTGGTAAGGATTGTGCTAAATGTACTGTATGAAATTACACAAATGCAATATTGCTCTATTCTTGTGTTACGAGTACACGTGCGTTACTTTGCACATTTCCAGGAATTTCAAACCCTATTGTATTTGTGAGTCAATGTGCGTTAAATGACTTCTAATAAGGCTTTTCGAAAACTCAATCATTTTCTTCGAAAAAGAGGTTTAAATTTCGAATTTACAGTAGCGCTTAAACGCAATTTTTATAAAAACCGCTAGAAAATGTTTAAATAAAATTGCCATTTAGGTCGAGGTTTTACTGTTCTTTAGTATTCTTAAAATAATGGTTCCGTTCTCTTATTAGGAATCCGAAAAATTAAGAAAATTAAAAAAAAAAAAAGTACTTGCATGGCGATAGATGGCATCAGGCAACAAGTATGTGCAAAGTCTCGAACTACCTTAGCCAAGCCAAAGAAAAAACTAATACGGGAAAGTCTGTGTCTTTTTATTCCACTAGTTTATTAAATTCTGTTCTTTCAAGACATTTCGAAATTAGGTTATGTCCAATTTGTCGAAAATTAGTCGAGGACGCTTAAGGTGCGTGTCCACTTGAGAACTACGCTCTACAGAGTATGTGCCGAGAGTATTTTTCGCCAATGGACACAGTTCTGACAGTAGGCAACAGAGAGTGGCGTGACTTTAGCAGAGAGCGGTCGCCATCTGATCTCATCGCTAGTGGACACGCCTGCGCTAGAACGCGCACGGACTTGCTGTCAGCATAAGAAACTTCTGGAAGTGGCTGCAAGTCGTTTTGGAGATTTGTTGGTGTTTGTGCTACGACATGGGCCGCTCAAGCAGAAAACTGCCACCAGTGGGCGGCTCTGGATTAGCACAGGGAGGGCAGCACAAGTTACAGGATTCAACAATGTTAGGCATTTGAAAAATAGTTATATTTGGATTGTTTAAGTCATATAAGTAATATTTACAATAGAATTATCTCCCCGGAAGGACGAGGCTAAACACATGATCTATAAATTAAATTGAGTCTCTTGTTGTTACATTCTGTAAATCTATTACTAATTCTTCAAAATTAAATGAGTCTCGTAACAAAACTCTTTATAATGAAAACATTCAAAGTCCATTCAATCTTTTTTCCGACATGGTATTTCTTAAAATTGTCTATAATATTTTCAAAGTGAAAAAGCTCTCTCGGATTCTTTTATATAGCACATCCAGCTCATATTTCAGTTTGCTAGGACGAACGGAGAGTACTGTGAAACGCGATCAATCTTTTGTAGGGGGAAATTTTCTTGATATTGTTGGAACGTTATACAATCAAAGAGAGAACACATGGCTAAATTCACCCTAAAATTAATATGGCCATTTACCCCTTTGAAATTTCCGTACAAAAGAACGATTGCCATTTCTATCAGATTGTACATTTTTTTTTTCAGGCCGAGGTGGCCCAATTCTCTTCATGCACAGCCTTGTATCATAACCACATTTGACATTTTTCAGGCATGTTACAGAATTGGAAACCATTCTCAATCTCAATGCACAATACGAACTGGACGCAAAGATCGGAATACAGCATTCACATAGTTTTGTCTACGGATCGGAAAGATGATGCCGACCATGCCGATTGCACCTTACTGCGCTGAATGGTTGTGAAAAGGGAGATCAGTTAAACAGAATACCAGCAGATAGCACTGGCCTGGACGAAAATCAAGCGAAAGGAATATTGTAAGTTTAAAAATCGATCAATAGATAGCACCGGGCAACGAGGTTGCTACCTCCCCTGTCGCCACTGACTGCCACAAGAAATGTAATGCACCATTGAAAAAGTAAACTAATGTTGCTACAGAATAGTACCACACTTTCTAGTACGTATTTTAATATATTCTTGCAGAAAAAGAAAAAAAAAATTGGTGCAACATTTAACGAAAATGTCCCAGGGGCTTGTTGTAAAGTAAATACAAAATTTAAAGAATGTTTTTTCAAAAATCTCAGTGCTTCGAGTGGGGCCAGATCGACCTCGGAATATTCATTTCGGGAAACTCGTTCTAATAGTTCAGGTGCTAGGTTGTTCACAGATGGACGGACGT